ACTCCTCCACTTGCACCTGGCTGGTGTGACCTTGGGTCAGTCACAAGTTCTCTCAGAGCAATGCTCAATGTTGGAAGCAGGATAAAGTGCCTGAAGTTGGAGACTGGATTAAAAAATGACTCTTTATGGTTGAAATGGACAAAATGACAAGGAAGCTTAACAATTTGGAAGCAGAAGATTTTTTTTACAGACTGGAAAGATTTTAAGGACTATTTAGAAAAGAACTGGGACGTAAGGGATGGTCTATTTAGCTTTTGACAATTATTAATTGTTAATAGATATTAAAAGTTAGATTAAGATGTAATACCAAATTATAGAAGGGTAAATTACCTATAGATGTGTGTAAGGAAAATGAAAGGAGGAGGTTGTGAAGTATATTTGATTATGTTTATTATATCCTAATAAAATGTTTATTAAAAAAAAGCAAGTTCTCTCAGAGCTGTTCTCTCAAGGGCAGTCCTCGAAAGAGCTCTCTCAGCCCTACCTACCTCACGGGGTGTCTGTCGTGGGGAGGGGAAGGGAAAGGAGACTGTAGGCCACTCTGAGACTTCTTCGGGTAGTGAAGGGCCGGGTATAAATCCAATCTCCTCCTCCTCCTCCCCCCCTCCTCCTGGGGGCCAGCAGGAGTTTTTAGAAACTACTTCTGGTTGGTCCCCGGAGATGGGGATCCAATCTCCTCCTCCTTCTCTCCCCCCTCCTCCTGGGGGCCAGCAGGAGTTTTTAGAAACCACTTCTGGTTGGTCCCTGGAGATGGGGTTGGCTCTGAAGATTAAGTAAAATGTTGCTGCAGTGGCAGCTGCCGTCACTGTGTTGGTTTTATTCCCTGTCTCATTCCTCTGTCCCAGTGCATTTTATAAAAACTCCCCCCCTTTTCCTCTGTACTTGAGATTTCCCTCTGGGTGTGGGGGCGTGGCTCTGCCCAATGTGGAAGTGTCGGAGAAAGCAGGAGGGCAGGACTCTCGACTAGGGATGTGCATTCGGTTTGTCTGAACCGAATGCACCCCCGAAAATGGCCCATTCGGGCCACTTTCGGGCTGTTGTGGGTCATCGGCTTTCCGCCCAAATTCGGC